GGTTCTATTGGAGTATCTGCTGGTCTGCACCCCAACATGCCTGTCTCTTGTAGAAGGTCAAGGATGTATTTCCGTTGACATATATAGATGCCCTCTTTGGATCTAGCAACTTTAATCCCTAGAAAGTATCTCAGTTGACCCAGACCTTTGATTTCAAATTCAGCAGCTAGGACCTCCTTCAGCCTTTTAATCTCTTCCTTATCATCCCCAGTAATTACCATATCATCTACATAGACGATAAGAGCTATAAGTTTCCAATTTCTCTTCCTTATGAATAGGGTATGATCTGCCCCGCTTTGAGTATAACCACCTTTCTTCATGGCTCCACATAGCTTCTCAAACCAAGCTCGAGGGGACTGTTTAAGGCCATATAGTGCTTTTCTCGGTCTACACACTTTTCTGCCAAATTCATAACCTGGTGGAGGATCCATGAATACCTCCTCATGTAGGTCACCATTTAAAAAGGCATTCTTCACATCCAACTGATGAAGCTCCCACGAGAAATTTGTAGCTAATGATAGTAGAACTTTGATAGTGTTGAGTTTTGCTATCGGAGCAAATGTTTCTTTATAGTCAATTCCTTCCTTTTGAGTAAATCCCTTTGCTACGAGTCTAGCCTTGTATCTTTCAATGGACCCATCCTCCCTATGCTTCACAGTGAACACCCACTTGCATCCAACAGTGCCTTTCCCTTCTAGTAGATCTACTAATTCCCAAGTCCCTGCTTTCATTAAGGCCTTCATTTCTTCATTCATAGCCTCTTTCCACTTTGGGTCAGACACTGCCTCTGAGTACCTAGTAGGAACAAGTAGCCAGGACATGACTATAGCAATTTGAGCAACATTTGTGATACATCCTTACATAACTTTATTTTGCTAGAACATATTTCAATTTTCAAGTGATACTGGAATTATGGACTTTGTGTTTTACTACTAGTTTTATGGTTTTGGTGATAATCATTATTACTTAAACATTTTCTTTTTGTATACAAATACATTTGTCAAGTTTCTACTTTTTTATATTTTCATGATTTGTGAAAGTTATTTGGCTTTTTATCATTATTACGTTGATAATTTATGCTTACGCTTTTATATATGTTCTGATGCATTTCCTACTCTCTCTCTCTCTCTCTCTCCCTTGTGCAGACGTAGCCCTTGTGACATCTTTGAGAGATGGAATGAACCTTGTCAGCTATGAGTTTGTGGCATGCCAAGATTCAAGGAAAGGGGTTCTCATTTTGAGTGAGGTAATTAACTATTACTATTTTCTCCGAGTTTACTTCTGAATTATCTAACCAGAATGTTTTGAAGTTGTTCCAGTGTTTGTTGATATGCAACATAAGTATAATGAAAAGATTTTAAATATCCTGTTGAACAAAAATGTTTCATTAGAGATAGCTCAGGAATGCTGAGGGTTTGATTGGGTAATCTTGAAAAGCCAGTTGAATGGTTCAACTAATCAATTGAATTGAAGCAGTAGTTGTTTTTGGGGTGTTTGGAAGCCACAAACAAGGATATAATTTCATTTTGAGATTTCGTGGTATTCACTTCAATGATTTCTGTATCTAAAAAGCAATTGTGAGCAAAATGTTGTTGGAAACTAAAAGTGAGCTCATTTCAACAAATGATTTCCTTTTTAAGTATTTTCATTTCTATTACTTGGACCAATTTTCAAGAAGATCCTGTGTGCTCAAGGCTGGATTAATTTTTAATTCTCCTATTTTAGGTGATAATTTTTAAGGAATCACATTGCCAGTTTTTCTTAGATCCATGTTGGGTGGTTCAATTTTATTTGCAGTTGTAGGTTGGGTGGAGGCCTGATCCCGTTTAGGTTTGAAATATGTGTATCACTCACCTTTCCTTGACTGGTCATTTTATTAACTATGATGCCTAGATATGGAAATGGTAACAGCCATGGATATGGGAAATGAAGATACAACTCTATTTCCTAAAATCCTAGATATGAATATGGGTATGAGTATGGGTATCCTATGTAATATGCTCATGTCATGCATTTATAGCTAGTTTTCGAAGTTAAATATAATTTCTCAAGACTTTATGCCTTGCGAAATTTAATTAAATTTCTAACATGTGCTGATTTTTTATAGTGTAATTTGTTCACACATATCATTTTATGTATTTTAAATCTGTTAATGCTATAGAGTAGATCTAGAAGTATCCATGCAGTATCTGGTATCATATCCAATACGACTATGCTAATAGATAGCCCTAAGAGTAGGCTAGCAAGTGCTATCCACATTGCAAGTTACAATCTTTCCCTTGGGAGCTCTGCCCTAGTGGAGTCTCCGTATCTACAAGACATGACAATACTGTCAATGCAGTTCCTTGGTTTCCTAAACTACATTAGCAATATCAGGGAACACTTTTTTGCTCTTTTTGACCTCTCCATAGGATACCAACATTCTGTAATGTTGTATTAAACTGTTTAGTGACTTAAAGTGACAGGTTTAGATGTTATGTTGTTCTATAACCATTGTTTCGAATTTTCACTTGAGTTTATACTTTATCATGCTAAAAAATTATGTATGTTTAGCATCTATGATATTGTAAACAAGCCTACTCTGACCCAGTCCAATTTGTTTTGGTTGGGAAATGAACACCTTGAATTGGGTCAGCTTGGTTAAAGGTTTGGTAGGGTTGTCCTTGAAATGATCCAACAGGTGAAAGGTGCAGCTCTGAAGGTAAACTGTAGACAACAATCACTTGTGTTTCTTTAACCCTCATTTTGGCAACGGAGGCTTGTATTTTCTAGTCTAATTTATTCACAAGATGCCATCATGTGTTCTGCATGAACACTTGAAATATGTATCCTCTGCAAGGATACTCTGCTGTAGTATGATCATAGTTTTCTTGATCAAGGAGAGTGTATTTTGTGACCTATGCAGTTAAGGTCTGATGACTTGGGCATGAAATAGGCACCTCCTTGCATTCTCATTGATAAAGTAGGAGCCAATGCTTAACCTGATGAATTCTTTCTCATGATGTTCTTGACCTCAATAGAGAAAATCTTGAATAAGCTTCCTTTAATCAAATTTGATCCATATGCTGAAATTGTAACCTCTTGTGCATGCATTGGCCATCATGGTGGAGGAATCTACAAAGTTTTTTGTGTTCATACTCAAGTCCCACCATATAGCAATTCGTTGTACGGTAGCATTTTATGTACACAACCTTTTTGATGAAGTAATACATGTACAATTATCATTTCAATGTATGTATTTTAATGTATGCATAGATGTTATTCAGTTTTATGGCCTTTTTTCATCTTATACAATCTTTCCTATCTATGATTGGTGAGTTTCTTGAGCTATACTTTCAATTGACACCTTTGACTTGTTTCTAGTTTGCAGGAGCTGCACAGTCTCTTGGTGCTGGAGCTATCCTGGTAAACCCATGGAACATTACAGAAGTTGCTTCTGCAATTGGTCAAGCTTTGAACATGCCAGCTGATGAAAGAGAAAAACGACATCATCATAACTTTTTGCATGTGACTACCCACACTGCTCAAGATTGGGCTGAAACCTTTGTAAGGTGTGGTAAATCAGCCTAGATCTCTTTGGGGCTAACATTGCAATCTTTTGTTTTGATATGAAATTTGAAATATATCATTTCAGAAATGCTGATGCTCAACCCATGCTATATTTGCTTGTGTAAACAAGCACCCAAGAAAAGAATTACATGTAATGTTATTTCCTTCCATTCATTAGCGGTGCTTTTGTAAGAAGAAATCCTCTCTTTTAGTACCATGAACAATTACAAAAAAACTTGCTTGGGGTAAGTTGAATGCCATGGTTAACTACTTGATAGTAATCGCCAAATGGATGGGGGGAAATGACTAAGAGGTCTTATTATACTCTTCTGGTTGGAGGATGTTTAAGCATATTTGTAATTTGGATTCATTTCTGCTGTGTTATTGTAATTTCTGGTTGTATTGAGGATTACCTGTAATTCCATTTTATTTTTGCATGGCTTGTTTGGCAAGACAACTGGTATTAGCTAATGTAAGCCGCTATCTATGGTTATTATGTGAGAGGAGAGATGTATGGGGGGTATGGTTTCTGCTTCCAGATCAGCTTTTATTCTTCTATTTTCTAATAGTGGATTTATGTTGTTTTTTCTCCCGTGGATGTAAGCTTCTATGCCTATCCACATAAATCTGATTCCTTGCCAGTTACCTCTTTTTACTTGTTTCTTGTCTTAGTTATGGCTTGTTCTTTATTATTATTTTTTATTTATAATATTTTGTTTGATATGGCCTGGCTTTTAGTCATGGAGATATTATATAATTTGCATCTGGTTGTGCTTGACTATTCTATTTTATACTTGGTGTTTGGGCAACTCTCTAGCTTCCTCTATGGTATTTGAGATGTGGTGTTTTATGCTGTCACTATCCTATATGTAGTGAACTGAATGATACCATCGTTGAAGCTCAACTGAGGACAAGACAAATTCCACCACCACTTCCAGTCAAGGATGCTGTTGAACGCTATTTGCAGTCTCGGAACCGATTGCTCATACTGGTATTCTTCTTTCCATACTTTATTAATTACTGTTGGAACTTGAAATAACTGTGACTACTACATTTTAGTTCAATGTATTTCTCATTTGTGCTCATGCATAACTTTTGATCATGCCAAGCCTTTATTGATATTAGACCAACAGACGGTGCAAAACTCTTGAAATTTCACTCTCTCCTCTCTTGTTCAGTAAAAGCCTTTGGATTAATAGATAGGATAAAGCTCTCTCAGAAGATGCTATTGGGCCTCCAGTAGCTAGAAAAGTTTTAATTAATATTTAATGGTCGCTTGATCATGAAAAAGCATTTAATCACATATTTCATTTGAAATTATAATTCCTGCACAAATTTGTTCTCATGTGTAGCACGTCTTCTGTGCAAGTATGAGAGTCATTGGTAAGCTGATGTAGAATGATGGATGATGGATAATCTAATCATATTTAGCCATAGTTGCAAAGTCATCATTGTGGTGACAAGAAACTCTTGGGTTGGGTGACACTTGGCCTGAGCCCGAATGCCATGAGCTATGTCAAAATGGTGACTGTCTGGCACCTTAGTGTAATATTATTATTATGAGTGCATTTTATTAACATGTGTTAATACATTCTATCATATACAGTATATACTAATGTTTTATTTTAGATTTTTACTATTGTAACATAAAAGAGCCAAGAGTTTTGGGGGTGGGGTCCATTTTTCTTTCTTTGTTTTCTACAATTACTCTCTCTTTCTTATATTAAAAAGAAAAGGAGTTCTACCCCTTGATTCTTTTTCTTCTTTTCCATTCATTTAATCCTCTTTATTTTAAATCTTTTATTAGTAAAGAGCATTATAGCTTTCTTTAGTTGGTAATACTTTTTCTAACTTGCAATTTATCTATTAAATACTTATTGTATTGCAATATTGTTTATGGAATAATTGAAATTAATAAACTTAAAATGCTATTGAAAATTTGAAACTTGATAAGATCTTAAATATTAATCTTTGAAAGCATTTAATAATATTATTTAAAATTATTAAAGGGCATACTCATTTGAATAATTATATCATTATAAAGTGACTAAAATGATTACACCATTTCAAGATGGCCACTTTCTTGGCTTAGAATAAAATTACAGGTTTAAAAGATAAATAGTGCCCAAGGAATTTGTAGATCTGAAGCCATCTCATTTCGTTAATCAATGAGAGAAAATTCTTTTCGACTATAATGTACATGTGTGAATAGATAACATGAATATTGTCTTTGTACATCCCTCAATAGCCCAGTGGAGGCTGGGGTCTATACCTTTTTGTAATTACTTTCTTTGAAGGAATCGTTCCCTCTTGACCAATGAAATTATATTATACTTGTTAAAAAATGATATATATATATAATCCATTGTTTATAATTTAGTTTAGAAATATTTATTTTATTATGTTTTGTTAATTTAGATATGAATACGGTTCTTTCTTATGTTACTATAATATTTATCCTTTTATAAGAGTTTAAAATATTAAAAATTTGACTATATTTTATTAATTTATGCATAGTTAAAATGTTTCATAAAGAGAAATAAGAAGGAAAAATTCATACGTAATTATAAACTAAAAAAAATAATGGGTTTAAAAAGAAAAAAACATGTTTGGATGATATCTATGTACATGTAAGTTAAAAAGCCTTAAATTGATTTAATTAACAAAAGTAAAACTTGTTGAGAACAATATAGGAATATTTGAGTGTACTGGGAAATATGTCAAGATATATTCCAATAATATTTTGTACTGGTGCACATTTGCTGAATATTACTGCTAGTTGCTAGTGTCAATGATTGTTGGTTACTATACAAAATAGGAAATTAAACTAGAATTTAGGGATTTTGTATTTTCAAAACTTTCACCTAGGCAATGCCTATGAAGGCGCCTAGGTGCTCCCTAATCACCTAGCTTTGCCTTGGTGCCTTGACAACTATGCTGGTATCTATATTCTGGCATGCCTATCTAATTGTACTTTTAGTGTATGACCTACAGGTATTGATGGTCCATAGGGATCTTACTTGTGTCATTTTTCATATAAATTACTTTGATCTTGTTACTCAATAGGAGGGGGAGAAAAAAGGACAGTTCTTTCTTGTTGTAATTGGGGAAAGAACAGGCATGGTTGAGAATTGCCAGTTCTCAGTTCTCTCCGTTCCCCCCCCCCCCAGAATAAACAATTAAGTTGGATCCTGTTTATGTTTTTTCCTTTCATGATGTAAAGTTCTCAACTTTTCATTACCTGTAATTCTAGAGCACAATTTATACTGCCTGTATCTAGTGATTTCCTTAATAACTGTAAAATGGTGAAGGCTTCGACCCCATTTCATCAGGGAATTCCATGGTGAGTTTGGACGCTATGGTTTAGTGATCAGTTTGTTGTCCTACCTGAAGTTCATTTAAGATCCACCTATGTGTTTGGGATTCTTTCTTTTTTTCTCGAGTTTTCTTTCACTTAGCTATTTTGAATTTATGTTATGGTTCTTTGTGCTTCAAAACTACAGGGATTCAATGCAACATTAACTGAACCTGTGGATACTCCTGGTAGAAGAGGGGGTGATCAAATTAAAGAGATGGAGCTTAAATTGCATCAAGATTTAAAAGATCCCTTGGCAATACTTTGCAGTGATCCAAGGACCACAAATGTTGTCCTCAGTGGAAGTGACAGAAATATTTTGGACAAAGTAAATCTAGTTTTCATGTTTACTTTTCCTCTTACCTATCATTAGTTTATCATACTTTTATACCATATGATTGCTTTCACAGAACTTTGGAGAATACAACCTGTGGTTGGCAGCTGAAAATGGGATGTTTCTACGCCGTGCTAAAGGAGACTGGATGACAACAATGCCTGAGCATCTTAATATGGATTGGGTTGATAGTGTGAAGGTGCTTGATGCTTAATTTTCAAACCATCAATTGTATGCTATCATTTGGATACTTGTACATGCTTAGCATACCTATATATTATGGAAAGTTGGAAACCAAATATGACATCAGATAATTTATGGAAATTTTGAGCACACTACTGCTAAAATATGTAGAATGTTAGTTTCCAGATCAGTATAATCAAATTGTTGCCAATGTGTCAACTAGGAAGTTGCCAAGGTTTTTTGGATGCCCATCACCTAGGTGACCAACTAGGAGGGTGGTATAGATATAAACATCTTAATGGGGATTATATGACTCAATATACCCTCCATCTATATTGTTATTAGCATATGTAACTCATTCTTAATAGGTAGGAATTCATGCAGATCTAAAAATAGGGCTTTAATCCTTCTGAGTTTTTTGTCTTTTATCCCAAAATCTTGTCAGCGTTTCTGAAAATCAATTTTGAGTTGTCATTGCATCAGTTGCTGATTCAGATTGTGATTTATTGTTTACAATTAACTTGGAACTCCATAATACTTGTGCATGATTATGTACATGCATTAAAAAATATGTATGTATCTACTAGTCATTAATTTTTGTTGCCTTGACAACGTCTAGTTGTTGCTTAGGCATAGACTTACATTGCCGGGCCAAAACACTTGGACATTGCCTAGCCATCTTAACTGCACTGATTGAGATATGTTATTTATATAACAACCAAAAATAAAAACATGGCATGAAAATATCAAATAGGCTATCTCTATTGTATCTGTTTCCTAGATCTAAGGAAATAAAGAGTCAAGATGTTGTCTTCCAGATTCTTAACTTGTGATGCTATTATTGATTTTTCAGCATGTTTTTGAGTACTTCACTGAAAGAACACCTCGTTCTCATTTTGAGCTTCGTGAGACTTCACTTGTGTGGAATTACAAGTATGCAGGTGCTTGATCAGATGTTTGATTTATTTTAGTTCTGGTTGTTTTTTCCTATTCTCTCTTTGTTTATGTCATTTTAATCATCATTAGTTTTATATGCAGTTGTTTATTTCTTTCTCATCTTGTTTTGACCATAGATGTTGAATTTGGGCGACTCCAAGCAAGGGATCTGTTGCAACACCTATGGACAGGCCCAATTTCTAATGCAGCAGTTGATGTTGTCCAAGGTAGCCGATCAGTTGAGGTTCGATCAGTTGGTGTTACGAAGGTAATTTATCTTTGGTATATTGGATTTATTGCCATGTTGTTTAATGCGTGGTAATTACAAAACCTTATCTTCCCTCTTGGATATGTGTTCACACAGGGTGCAGCAATTGATCGCATACTAGGAGAAATAATCCACAGCAAATGCATGACAACACCAATTGACTATGTTCTTTGCGTTGGTCACTTTTTAGGGAAGGTATATTTCTCTTCAAAAGATTAAGATTTTATCACTAAGAATGCTCTAGAATTTGTATGTTTTAGTCTAAAGAATTTTCTAGTATCACATTTTGCTTTAGCTTGAATTTGTAAGTGTAAGACAATGGGGTTACAAAAGTACTTTGACTTGGCTGACCCAGTGTATAACTGGGTCAGACTGGACCGTTCCAGACCATTTATCCGTCTAATAAAGAACCATTTGCTTTAGAAGTGTAATGTGAATCAGCATGGCTCACTTTTGTGGGTTGCCCACATTGTTGCAGGTTGTGCTGTGCCAGCATGCGAGCCTTAGGGGTGTCGTGGTTAAGTTACAAACCATGGACCCATTTTCTAAACTGAATAACTGAAACCAAACCAAAGCCAACTAGTTAACTGGTTGGTCTGTTCGGTTAACTACCAATTCAGTTCATTGGTTTTTTGGTTTTTGATATTTATATTATATATTATAAATAAACATATAAATATATAATAAAAATACTAGAGATGCATATAAAATATTATATTATAAATAACAAATGATATATTATATATTATAAAAATATATATTTATATATAATGCATATATTCATTTATAAAATATAGATAATATAAAATATATATGAAAAATATATATAATATACATAACATTATATATATATATATATTGGTCGGTTTGGTTAATTGTCAATTTTCGAAAATATCGAACCAACTGCTCTGGTTAATCAGAATTTTCAGTTCACTTCACTTTGGTTTTTCAGTTTTTTGATGATGACCCCTAGCAAGCCTTGGTGGGCCATGCCTACTTGGCCTACAGTCCCTTAAAAGGGAAGCTCGGCATGGCCCATAGCTCGAGCCCAAGCAGGCCTATGCCATGTCAAGCTATAGGTCGAGACGTGGGCAGCACGATTTTTTAAAGAAAATATGAAAAAATAATAATAAATTAAATTATATTAATTAAATAGACAAGAAATTGAAAAAAAAATTATTTTATATGAATTTTGATGTACACAATTGTTTATATATCCTAATTTGTTTTCCCGTGCTCTTACTAAGGCGTTCTCTAGAAATGACACACTGTACCCTAACCTGAGTGTAGTGTTAAGTGGGCAAGGATTTGCTAGGATATAGTAGATATGGCTTTAAATAGAATGGATTGGCAAAAAAGGATTCATGTAGCGGACCCCATATAGTTGGGATAAGGCATGGATGATGATGATTGTTTATATATGAAATAATAAAATGAAAATGAAACAAATTGCAATAAAATTGAAAATAAAAATCTATATATATACATATGTATATAATTTGTGTATGTGGGGGGGAGGGACCGTGTGCCATGTTGGTTGGTGGACCTCAAAACCACTAGCTCGACGTGGCACAAGGGTTTTGGTCGGGCCAGGTATAGCCCAAGTCATGCTGGGCAGTGCCTGCCCCAAGTGGCCTAACCCACTTTACAGCTCTAATTTGCATTAACTAAGTGTTAGAATATTCTAGGATAATAATTAAGGGGTAAATTGAGGAAAGATAAAAAGCAAAAAGACTCTAGAACATGAGAGACCCAAAATACTATAAATAGGGACCCATACCCAAATATGAGGGGAATTTTTGATAATACACCCATCCGACCCATATTTCTCTCGCTCTCACGTCAATCACCAACCTACTCCATCTCCCTTCTGCCGGAATTCCAGAACTGGTGAACTACAATGGCCTAATCCTTCGTTGGAGGGTATGTAGGAAACCCCTTTGGGGTTCTAGCCAACTCTTCTCCCCTTATCTTTTCCCCTTTTGGTTCAAATCACCATTCTCCTTGGAATTTCGGAATTAGACCATAGGTGCCAAGTCCACCATCTTATTGTAAGAAAAACATGGAAGGGCGATTGGTTTCTATATTTTCACTAGACTTGAGTGGGCTAGTGTTGGTTTATGATGCCCCATTATTTCAACATGCTTAATGTGATATTGATACTGCATATTCTTAGAATCACACTTTTCATCATAATGGTTAACTTAAATTGTCTGGTCAACCAACATATATATCATAATCATCATCATAACCATCCCGACTATATGGTGTCGGCTAAGATGCACCTCAAAGGTTTTAGACAAGTTAAATGCATGTTTATTCTTGCAAGACTCAGTAGGGCCAATAGCACACTAAAAGTTAATGCATTTTGTTAGAGTGCTCGAGTCAGGGGTATTTTGGTCATTCTGGTTTATCTTCTTGGAAGTGAAAGGTCTATTGTATCTGAGTTTAAGTTATGTGTCCCATCTTATATGAGGG